TGAGAGGGCCCGGCACTCACGCTGAATCGGGCTGCAGCTGCTGGAAATCAGCAGTGGGATTGTCTCTACTTACAGGAGATAATCTCAACAGTGTTCAGTTTTTCTTTGTTTTGTTCCATCTGAAACAAAAAATCCAGTAGATATTAAACTCAGAGTTAAAATGAGATTAAAAGCACAAGGTTTGCATCAGAACTATGCTCTGTGCGTCTTGTAAAAGCACAGTGTCCCCAATGTAGGAATTTTAAAGGGAGAAAGAATATTTATTTAGCTGATTTTTTTCTTTACTTTATTCCCCTTTTTCCTGTTAACATATTAGCACAAGTCGTGCTAACATCTTGGCAGAAATGAGGACATGAATCAGAAAATTATTTTGCTGGTAAAACTCAAAGCTCACAGTTGAGGTTGTGAACAGAACAGATTCCTGTTTTCTAATTTCCCTCTCACAGATAAACACAAGCAAGCAACAAAAAAATGAGCTGTTCGACACAAAATGTGCAGCTGGATCTTTGTCTTTAGCCCCTCTGCTCTTACTGCCTGTGACCCCCTCAGCCCAGCACGTCCCCGAAAAAGACGACTCGCGTATTCAAGAAAACCCATCAGTTTGCTCATCACCACTCCTGGCCAAACACCCCCTCTGTCACTGAGAAGGGGGCAGGAGGCCGCAGAGGTTTGCCTTGAGCTGAGAGTCAACAATCCCAGGCCTGGATTTCCTCTCCTCAGACTGCTGGCAAGAGCTGAGAAAGAGAAGAGACGGGAGCAATGGTTTGTTGATTGCCGTCCTCGTGCCGGCGGCTTGCCACCACCGCTATTCTCGGGGCTCGTTTTGCGTGGGGGTGGAGAGAGCCGAGACTTTGCCACGGCACTGCAAAATGAGAAATGACACGGTTTCCCCAAACGTGGCGCCTCATCGAGCTGTTATGGATTAGTTCAGGCTGTTATTCTAATCTGCACCCCTTTTCTTTGCCGCCTCATTATGAGATGGAGGTGCCAAGGCCTCATAGGGAGGATAACATGTTAAGAGTGGTTCGTGAGGAGAGATGATGCTAAGCTGATGGAAGGCAGAGCTGATCTGACAGGGCTGGAGGAAGCCAAGCTCCGACCATTTGTGATGTGAGGACTTAAATCCAATCAATGAGCACGCCTCACTGTGGACTGAGAGAAATGGGAAAAACAGCAGAACAAGGACGCGTGTCTCTGATGTGTGACTAATGGAAATGTGCATCGTGTCAGCCTCTCCGCACGTCTGTCAGCGCAAAGTCAAACACACAACTCTTTTCTTTAGAAAACAAAGACTTAAATATCTTTTACAAACCTCCATATCACAGTTTGAAATATTGCCACTTGAGTCCTTTGAATTCGGCACAATCAAGCAGGACGGCTGATCAGCACTTATCCACTCAGAACAGGCGGCTGCAGCCTGTGTGCACCTTCCAAACAAAGCGTCAAAAAAGAATAATAATCCAGGTTGTGCTTAATGGAGGAACTTCACATGTAGAGGAAGTACTCGCAATTATCCGTGACACCGGGCTATTAAAGAGATCATATGCACACCACATAAAGCACCACTGTTCATCCACTCCACCTTAATCAGCTCAAAGGCCTTTTCATTTCACGTGTTCAAGAGCCTTTCATCTGGGCACGACGGAACCAAAGCGCTGAACATCAGGAGGCGCCAGAAACCCCACAAAGTCATTCTGACCTGGAGAGTCTGGACTCCACTGATCCTCAGCTAGAGCTCTGGAATGGGGGAAGTGCCTTTCCAGGCCACCATTAACCTCTCCAGATCCCTCTGAGGGCAGTGAAGGCCTCGCACCTGGGCCATCGTCGACCATCGGGATAGCACTAAGGGCTGTTAGAGCAAAACAAAGTACAGAGAACAGAGAAAATACAGCAGCAGTCTAAACACAGTGGCAGTAGGATCATGGTATGGATGAATTAAAGAAAAATATCAGTCAGACAATTATTAAAGAAGAAGTGACGCCTAACTAAAGTGACATAAGGACCAGGCGTGAAAAAGAATGTGCCTAAATTCCTCATCAGCAAAAAAAAAGTAAACAAGTGAAAGCAACGAACGCGACTCGAACCCAAACTGTAACTAAACCCGTCAGATGCCAGATTTGTCACTTTCAGAGCCGCCAGCCGTACAAGGACGAGACGACGCTTGTGCCATTAAGCTCTGCATGAATAAAGGCTCTCATTATACACAAAAGAGAAAAAAGTTCTTTATGATGCTGGAGAAGCTGCACAGGAGGGTAGGGGGAAAAAATCTAAATGAGCATTACAGAAAAAGCTGTTGGGCCATAAATCAAATAAGCAGACAGACTTCATGCAAATGTGTTTTTGTGCCACTTGCTGAAATCAGCAACTTTGGACAAAATGTACAAGCATCTTTTATTTATTTCCTGTCCCATCATGTGAAAGAATTTTTGTGCAGGGGGGGGGGGTGTAACACAGTGGCAAATGGTGTCGTGACAACAGAGAGGACATCTGTGCAGGCCTCATCTTCATGAAAATAACCCCCAAAACCCAAAGAGGACTCACTGTCCAGGCCTCGTCTCGGTCTGGCCACGCGGGAGCAGCGGGTCAATGCCACGGCTCTCCGGCTTTACCTCAAGGTCCAACAGGAGGGAGTGGTTTTTAGAGCCCAGGATATGCAACCTTGAGGGTAAAAGCATGATCAAAATAGCACCGACAGCTTCAAGCACATTTCCTTAGACTAATTACTCAGAGTGAGGGGTCTGCTGGACGGGCACTAAAGCGAGAAACAGCGGCTGAACGCAAAAAAAGAACAGATCAATTTTCAGACTGAACACTGGCTTTGTGATCTTTTTTTTTCTTTTTTTTAAACATGATTAATTTAGCAGAGGAGTCTCAATAATGTCAGTGGTGTGCAGCACCTGCCACTCAGAGAATGTAGCATGTGCTAGGTAAAAGTCATTATGAAACAGCATACTAATCTAATTACTTCAGTAATGGTAACGAGCACGGTGCTCCTGGTGTCAAATCTCTGTCCGAGTTAAAAGTGTAACGAGAAGCAGACCAGCGTAGTGATGTTCTAATAGAGGGGTGTCCTCGAGGGCCGCTGTCCTGCAGCTTTTGGAGGTTTCCTGCTAATGGTACACTGGCCTGAAAAAAGGGGTGTTAAAGCTGGGAAACATCTGAGGCCTGTTGACCATTGGCGATTGAGGCCTTTGGACAGGATCAACAGGAAGATCTGCACAGTCAAACTTGAGGTTTTGGGGGGAAAATAATCATTAAAAAAAAAAAAAAAACATCAGCAAGGATGCGAAACACCCAACGAGCGACCATAAAAACCAGCAACGGTCTTAAATCTGAAGGATCTGAGATGGACACTATCCACATCCCCCAGGAGTTTCAAAGACGATACATATTACTTAACCAAATAAGTCCATTTTAAAAGGAAAAAAACATTACTTTTCTCTACATAATGAATTTAAGGAGTGTGTTCTAAAGTATCCCCTTGCTTCCTTCTTGAACTGAAATGGTCGGCGCACACAGCTGTGGAGTGACAGGAAGATCTTACATCTGGTTGGTTGCGTTGCTCGGGGAATCGTGCCGTTTCAACAAACGATGTACTAATGGATGAGTAAAGTGTCCCTGAACTCGAGTCATCAGGAGCCGCGGCCCTGCTTGATTTACAGCTTTCTGCGCTTCAACACAACTGGCCCAAATTACCGTACCATTAACAGAGTTGTGTAGAACCTGGGACGGGGAAACATCTCAAACATGCAGGGCAGCAGCCCTTGAGATCCAAAGAATGACAAAAAAAAAGGAAAAATATCAAAGGTACAAACACTGGTATATTTTACTTTTTTTTATTTATTTATCTACAAATACATCCATTTACCTGAAGGATTAAATTTACACTGTAGCAGTGTTTTCTGTATGATTATTTGCAGTTTTCATGTCTTTTCATCTACCTATCATTTCACCTATCGTATTAAATATCTTTCGGTTCTAGTCTCACTGAAAGGCCCCTATGGCTTCCACAGTTCTAGCGGGACCGGTTCTGCACACTTGGAAACCGCAGATTGTCGTGTACTCACCTGCACATGCTCAGTCAAACGGCTGCTGTGGATTTCCGCTTTTATAAACGTTCACTCAGTGGTCATGTGACCGGCTTTGAGCACATGGTTGACAATACGCTGTCCATTTAGCTCTGTAAAATGTGCAGTATAGATTAGCAAAGGGCATTAAATATTAAACATAGTCCAGGCCTGGGGGGTGGTGGGGGGGGGGGGGGGGCTATCCTATTAAATATCAAAAGGGCTGCATGGGCCCAAGCAGGGCAGCTGGAGTTGGACTGCCGATTAAAGCTTGGCCAATCTTTTGTATGTAGCTTTGTACTTGAAAGACAAGGATAAATAAATCTCTTGAAAATGTGAGTTTCTCGGCGAAGCCATTATTTTTTTCTGCAAATTACATTGAAAGAACTCTGACAAAAAAAGGCTTTGTGCACCAGATAAACATTTGTGGTTTGGACTGCAGAGCTCCTACAATGAGTCAGGCGGTGTGAGGTGGCTGCACGGCAGGGAAGCACACTTCAAAGTGGGCCATTTCTTCTTCAACCACTGTCAGCTTCAAGTGGAGCATGAAAGGAAGGAGGTTAAAAAAACACAAATAAAAATCAATACTCCACCAGGCCTCCTTTAAATCTTGTGCTGCTCTGTGTTGGCACATTCAAATCCAGCTCCAATTAAGTTGAGGTTTAAATTTGAATAGATAGTTTTCCAAGAATTTGCAGTCCAGCACTTTCAAACACAAACTGAAATGCATAACGGTGCCTGTGGATGACAGACCTTGAACAGTACACTTTGGGAATCTGTTACACTTTAATTGCTTCTGGAAAGTAAAAAAAATCTCATCCTGACAATTGAATGCATTGTTCGGTTTTACAGGAACACAAACAGAAACGGAGGCAGAACTTTGAAAGCTTAAACAAACATTAAAAAGAATAGCTGGATGAAAATGAATAATGATCCAATAAGCTGTGTTGCCCTTCAAACTTATTTTATTGATGTACTTAACATTGAAATAATACAAAGTATCCAAACAAAGTAAAGAACATGTACATCCTTTTAAATAGTCAACAAAAGATATTCTATTCCAAAAATGCTGTGAACCAAGTCAGACTATACAACTTCAAATAAATAATCATTCTCATTAGGAATTGAGATAAGAGGGGTTGGAGGGAACACGTTTTCATGCCAGACCTTCTACACAATTTGCCAAGACCAAAATCATCATGAGGTTACAAAAAGGAAAGTGATTTTTGACAATGACTGGTCAGGCATGAAAAATGTGCACTCTTCCCCACAGCAGCAAGTATCACAACTCATCTAGACTTAAAGTTTAACTTTTACAAGAAACACAAAGAAGAAATAGATAAAGAAAAAGCAGTTGCAAAGAATTCTATAATGCATAGCACACTGCTCATTTAAGGGGAAGCATGACTAGTAGCTGGCTGAAGTACCAAGCAGGTGCAGTTTTAGTGCATCTAAGGCTCGACAAGCCTCAATTTGTTTGGTCAAGATTGATGTTTGTTAAACTTTAGCAACCAATTTTACCATCGCTAATGCAACTGCTTCACTGTCCTTCCCCAAAGAGAATAAAGCAATATACACCTTTTTACGATTTTAAAGACAGGTTATATGCATTACGTATATATATATATATGAGTATGAAAAAAAGTAAAGTAGTTCAAAACTGTGGTTTATATCCATTCTTTACCACATAAATATATTTATCTATAATGTTTATATATAAAAAAAACCCCAAAACAAATGTCTATAGTTTAATACCTTTGTTTTTTTTCTTTTTAAACGAAGCAAGACTATCTACAGACCAAACCACAAACAAATTTGATGCACGGTAATGCAAGTCCATAGGACGACAAATCAGGTATTTCAACAAAGGATAAATCAAAGAGGTTAATATCAAAAAGAAAATACCTCACATACTCCATGAAAAGAAAAACAGTCACATTTTCCAATGAAGTCCAAACTATGACCAAAAAAAGTCTGCCAAATACTCAACGTAAAAAAGGACTTATTTACACAGCTCAATGCTCAAGAGTCATCCCATTCTTCAAACCTTTTTTTCCCTCCTTTTTTAAATGTGGCTGCCTTCATCGGCTTGTCCCAAATCTTTCATACAAAGTATGTAAAAACCCCTGTGGTTGACAAAAATCAGTCCATTGACATATCGTAGGTACACCACAACACATCATGAGATCCATCTGACAGGATTCCTTGTGGCAGAACTGATTTTTAATCTTGTTTACCTTTTAAGATCTCTCCTTAATGTAATTTTGCATGCACTTTTTGCAAATAAACCTTTTATTTTTGTCCGTTTCCAAATCTAAATCGGAAAGTGAGTTGCTACTCAAACAGACGACCGGGATGACCGAGGACCCACAGATGATTTACAAATGAAACCAGCAATGTCACTGATTCTAGAATCTAAAGATAATACAAAGATCTCAAAAGGTATCTTTTACATCATAAATCTCTCCAGAAATGTCAACCACTGCAAACTTTCTTGTAAAGTTCAAAAGCTCACAAGGTGTCATATGAAGATATTTCTCAAAGTATCCAAGTCAAAATATTTTGTTCCAGGTCCAGTAAAAAGTTTCTCCAAATTTTTCTTTTTATAAAAATAGATGCTTTTAAACCCACATCAAAGAGGTTCTTAGCTCTTTGGCAAGGTACTGCTTTAAGAATTTTTTTTGTCTTTTTATCCATTAAATTTACAATAAGCAACATTATGCAGCCAACCAATAACCAACTCAGATTACAATAAACTGTCAAAAATCAAACCAAAAACTGCGCAAAATAAGTACTTGCTAATCACTCAGAGAATAACGCACCTATGGAAAATCAGGACACAGAAGTACAAAGGAAATCACAACACATAACCTTACAAGACTTACTGCTTCAAAGCAATGTGCAACAGAATGACAAAACCTATAGTAACGTTTCAGGTGGTTCATCTGTAACAGCAAAGATTAAACATCACAGGCCTTAGAACCTGTAGGATTTTTTTGTTTCAAACTATACTGAAGATTCAAAGCGGAGCAATGAAAAAAAAGTTTTAAAAAAATGACCACATTGTTGGATGCCAAATATTGATTAGAAAGCTCTTTACTAATGTAGAAAGTTGCGGTTGATACGCTTCCACTTTCTGGTGAGTTTTCTACAAACAATCGCAGTGGGTTTTAGGCTTTGTGTGTTTTGTTGGTTTTGAATGAGACTTGCAGAACTCTGTCCCCGAGGCGGTATCCGTTCAGGCTAGCAATGGCCACAGCTGCCTCGTCGTAATTAGTCATGGTGACAAAACCAAATCCTTTGCACTTGTTTGTGTTGAAGTCGCGAATAACCTTGACATTTGTGACGGCTCCAAACGGCCCAAACATCTGCCAAAGGATGCTTTCATCTGCATCTGGAGCCAGGTTGTAGACAAAGATACACCAGCCAGTGCCTGCGTGCCCCGGGATGTTGATGCCAGCCAAACTGGTCACCCCGTCTATGGCCATGGGGGAGAACCTGCTGTAACACACAAAGAGGGAGACGGTTCAGAGCAAAAGCCAAAACTGGGTCCTCACATAAAAATCTCTTTGAAAAAAAAAGGTAAGGATCAACATCATTAACCACAATAAGATCAATGTAGTTTTTTTTCCTTCAGCTTAGTAAAATGTGAGAAAGCAACTCCCTGCACACCTAAAACAGAAAATCCTTCCAAACATGGAAGAGGAACATCCACAAGACAAAAAAAAAAAAAAAGCCCTGGTCATCGGCATACATGGCTTTGCGGTTTAAGAAACAAAATTCAGAGCACTTGGAAAGCCTATGAATTATTGCAGCTGGTGTCAAATACGATTAGCCGCTCCAGTTAACCTCTCAGGGAACATTCACCATGACAGGTGTGCTGCAGCATCAAGGACACAGATTTGGTAACGAAGACATCACCCAACAAGCAAGACAGAGGAGAATCTCCATTCTACTGGTTTTGCTGCGCTGGACTTCAGAACTCTCGGCAGACAAAATCAGTAAATCCTGATAGAAACTTGATGCAATCAAGGTTTAAAATAGGACAGAGCTGTCCAAAAAAAGATCAAGCTGCTCAAAATACAAGGACGCAATTTTGTGCAATAGGAAGTGAGACTGTAGAGTCCTGTCCTTTGTTACGTAGGCAGTGCTTTAATATCCAATTTGAAACCCACTGCATCACTGCCATGAATGTTAGAGTTAAGATGAGATGACTGGAGCACATGACAGTCCCACCGTAGTAAAAAAAAAAAAGGCTATGGAAAATATGCAACTGAGAAAAACCCAGCCATTCTGGGAAATTAGAACACTGATTTCTAGAAACGTGGAAGCAGAAAAAAACTTTTGATCTTTTTGAAATGGTGCAACTTTATGCACCTTTAACCATCAAAATGTTTAATAAATCTCTAGGATAAATTATATCATGAAATAAGGAAATTCGCTTACCTTTTGACTCCATAAGCCATGTTCAGCAAATTGTCCAACCTTCAGAAAATAAACAAACACACATTACTTTCAGTGGAAATAAAACTGTTTTGAAGCTGGTACATCTTGAACGAATTATATATAAATGATAAAATTCGAGTCAGCTAAACTAAAGTGAATCCCAATACTATTGTGTCCTTTATTAACCTTTAGACTAGTTCTCCAATAATCAGCCCACACACAGCCAATAGCGGACTAAGGTCATGGTGAGCATCAGCTGGCATGATGAACAGTCTGTTCCCATAAAAATTACATTTCCATGCTCAGACAAAAAAAACCCTGATCAATACAGAGCAATAAAAAGCACAAGTGTTCATTTGCAAACTCCAATTGAAAAGGATTCTTGTGCAGTGCATTGCTCATCACTGATTGTCAGTCAGCTCATACCAAGGTGTGGTTGGCCTACATTGGCATCAGGAGGAACACAGCAAAGATAACAATGGGAATATAAGAACGAGTTATTTTGGACAGAGTATCGATGGATATTTTCAGAATACCGCTGTGAGACAATTTAAATGCTAATTCGAAAAGAGAGTCGGCTTGCCTAGCAGTATTAACTATGCCGGGCTCTGATCTGACTTTTTTCTTTTTGGTGTGCCCCTTTTACCTGAAGCGTTGTGCCTGCTGTGCGAGGGGTCCTGGGTACCTTCGATTGGGTGACTGGTACAGCTGAGACAGCAATGCCTGGCTGGTCTTCTGGCTCGGGTTGTTTGCAAACTTGACTGTAATGGGTTCAGTGGCACCTGGCGGCTTCTGACAGTTCAGACCTTTGATGGCCTCCTCAGCCTCGACTCGCCGATCAAAACGAATGAAGCCAACCCCCCTGGAGACGCCTGAGGAGAACACATTCACATTTATGACACAATGAGCTCCTTCAGGCCAGGAATAATAAATACATTAAATGTAAAAATGCATACCTGCCAACACTTATGAACAAGTCTTTTGTTCAGATTCCATTAGCAAAATGTCTGAACAATGCAGAAGTACTACTGAAGATTAAAATGAATTCTACTAAAATTCAGTGTTTTGTATAATCATTGGATACAAAAATATATTTTTATGCATTTCCCAGGTGATCCACAGAACTGAGAAATTCACATGAATGTTTACAATTGCCAACATGCTGATACTTTAATAAAGAGTGCACCACATTCAGAAATACACAACAGACAGAACAGACTTTATTTATTAACAATAATAAAGAAAGTCCAGGAAGAGATTAAACACTTGAAGGAAGAAAAAATAAAATATGACTATGTTAACTCATACAAGCAGCATGCCAACTGCAGGCGAATGCAACACACACAAGTTTCTTCCAGCACCAACAACCAAAAAATAATTAAGGATTACTGTCAAACTTATTTGCTGCTTTATTGGTAGCATGTTGATTAGTCTACAACTCAACATAAGCAAAATACTATAAAAAAGTACAATTTTCAAGATTAATTTCAGAATCTGGTCCATACAGCAGCCAGTTCATGACAACACTTAGAATATTTCAACCATAAAGGACATTTACTAATTATTCCTAGCGTTCATCTACCTCTCAGAGCACAGCCTCATCTTGTTCTTGTTTGTTCCAGCAGCTTTCCAGAGAGCCTTGGTGTTGCTTTTCATTTTGTTAACACTTTTTGCTGCACAGTCTGTATCCATTTTTTGCTAAATGGTTCTCTCACTCTGTGGTTTTACACGTGTGTATTCAAGTACTTGCAGGAGTTAATCTGAAAGCCATTCAATCATCAGGCTCCAAGTGTTGCTAAGTTTATGTGCAATAACAGGTTGTAATCCTGGTTTGGTTTTTGGTGACTGCTGGACCCCTTTTTGAGTTCTCCAGGAACGGGTGATTTCTGTTTAAAAAATAAAGCATTCCCACTATGCCTGCCAGAGTGATTATATGTTCCAGCAGCACACAACCACTGGGAAATGTTGGTGAGAGATTCCACTTAGTGTTTCACAAGGGTTCAGCTTCCACTCGACAGCTGAAGAATAGAAAATGTAACCGTTCTAAATGCATTTCACTTCTTGACACAACAAGCATCACGTGTACACTTTGGGGATGGGAAGAGAAAAGGGGGTAAAAAGTAAAAGATGATAAATGTCAACGGGGGGAAAGCTGGAGGGGAAGATATTATAAAGCAGTCGTCCTATTCTACATCCATCTATGCATATTTATGAACTCCTTGAGTGGAAAATTGCATTTTTTGGAGCCTTGTGCCACCACCTCTGATATATTTCTCAGACCTGGCTGTGTCATTCTATTCTGCGGTCCCAAGGGAAAAGGGGGGGGAAGACAGCCGGAAAGAAAAAAAAAAACGAACAAGGAGGGGGAAAGCTGTCATGTTCTACTCACCAGTCACCTGGTCCACCAAAATACGTGAGGTAATGATGCGTCCATACTGAGAGAAGAGCTGCTCTAGCTCTTTCTGCGTCATGGTTTTTGGCAAGCCACTGACGTACAAATTTGCATCTCTGATGGAGGCGGAGCTTGGACGGGCATAGGAAACCTACAAGTGGAGCAACGGTACATTAAAATTCCGACACGTGCTGGGAGGAAGACAGGCTGAGCTCAGGGTAGGCCATTCATCACCTTTTTAGGTTACAATAGTTCAAACAAGAGCTGAGGCTGTGACCCATTTACAGCAGCAAAAACAAGCATCAACCAGCATGTAAACATGTAGTTGCCCTCACATGTTATGCAAACCCAACACATCTCTATTTTAATCTCATCTAAGACCTAAAGGCATCAATCTTTCTGTGAATTTTAAGAGATTCAACGTCAACCTTTCATGTGAAGGAAAAGTTTATTTAACGCGGAGCAGTGGGACTGTGGCATGTAATGCTCAGAGCAGGCTCTTGGTAAGGTATCCTCAAGATTCTCAGTGGGGTTAAAACATCAAAGTCTACTGGTCTGTTTAGTTTAACTTAAAGTGTCTTGTAAGTTAGAGTGATTGACAAGAATACTTGAAACTTTTAATCCTTGGTATTTATTTCCAAAGTACTGTATGTAAAATGGTCTTATATTCCAATCATTTAAAGAAAGTGATTTTCCATACTCTGTGCGTTTGTACTTCACTGTCTATTATTGGTTGGAGGTTCAGTGGGACAGGGGAAGAAAAACCAAGAGACTAAAGTGCAAACATTCTCTATATTAGGGCGGTCGGCAGAACTAATTTCTTTATATTTATTTCCATTACTTAAGTATTTAAATCTATTAAATTGAGGTATCCCCAAACCCTCAGAAATAGTGTAGTACATAATGCATATACTGGCAAGACAAAATACATTACATTACGTTTTTAAACATTCATCCAATTGTGCAACGTTTAAATATTTACCTGAATATTAAATGGCAGCATTAATATTCACAGAATGAATAAACAAAAGAAAACTGAACTTGGCCCCACAAAAAAATAAAAAAAAATAAAGGGTTGTGGATCAATACGTTTTTTTCACCCTTGAATTGTCTTGAAATTCCTCCTGTCTATGCACCAATACACCTTTATTTCTGCATACAACAGAGTCAGAGAGCATTAAACAATTAAGACGAAGGGATAACCCTTTAACCCTCAGATTGCTGCTTATTGTTGAAACCTAACTTGGTTATCCAAACAGCTGAGAAGCTGAATTGACATTGCTGTCACACTTGTTCAATTGTCCCCTTTCAGCAGTTTGATGTAATAGTAGTCTAGAAAGCATCCCTTTGTGCCCACATAAGAACTCCACTGGGTGAACCTGAAAACCTGCCTTGTGCTCCCCCAGAAGGGAAAGCTTAAAGCCATGATGAAAGCTAGAAGATTTCCATCCACATACTTGGAAGTTTTCTAATCTCGTCTCTGCCAGTCTCCTCACCATCACACTATTTTATACTAATATTTCCAAAGTTTGTACCTCGATTTCACACGGATTGGATGTGGGATACATAAAGAAATGTTACTGTGTACTTCCAGGGGCATAAAATGACATGGAGAAAAATGTGCCATGCTTAATTCCTGGAAATTAAGTGACGTGACATAACATGAGGACACCATTTTTCACAATCATGGCATTAGCACAATAAGTCAATATCGCACAAAGGAAAAGTTAAATACTAAACTTACAACTCTGGTGTGATTCAAAGACATTTTTCAAAGACAATGCTCTTCCTCTCCATGTCTAACGTGAGGGTTTGAATCAACCAAAAAGAAAAAATATCTCAAAAAGGTTTCACCACCCATAAATACTGCAGCACAATACAAAGTACATGAGCTTTTCCCACCAGCACATTCAATGCTACATCACCTGATGAATGCTAATGGCAGCCGCGTCCCTGTAAAGGCGTATAGCAGAGCTACAGAATATGCAACCATAGAAACAGTTCTGCTCTACTTGAGGCCCAGGCAAAGCTGTCTGTGCCCAGATTAACAATAGGCTCCCTTTCCATCCCACTTTACTCCAGCCTTAGTATGCTTCAAGTGCAGCCTAGAGAGCAAGACATGCACAGTGCATGTATGACTTCTGGAAAAAAAAAGGACATCTTACCTTTATGGTTTTGGTCTGAAGTCTCAAGCCGTTTAAGGTATTGATGGCCTTCTCTGCATCTTTCGGGTCAACGTAATTCACAAATCCATAGCCTAGGCTCTGCCCTGCAGTTAAGACAGAGACATTTGCATTGTCAATAAAAGCTAGGGGGGAAAAAAGCCCAAAACACTGGCATGACAACCACGAATGGACAGTGACCAGTTAAGACCCATTTTAACCCGTTAAACGGCTGATCTGAAGTCTGTTTTCAAAATGATCGTAACAATCTCAAAAAGATTTTGAATTGGCTCCTTGACAAACATGATTTGAATTTTTTTTTTTAAAAGACAAGCAACTGTTCTGCTGTCAAACCAACTCCTCTAATATATTTAGACAAGACTCCATGCCCCTTCCTGAACAGTTTAGTCTCTATAATGCACAATGGATTGACACCCACTCTGTGCACAGAGGCAATTCAATTTCCTCCACCCACAGCCCCAGGTCTCTCCAATATACCACAGCTGGTCGAGTTGAGCAGCTATAGCAGAACAATTCATACACATGTACACTATGATGAGGATAATTACGTTAAGGTACAAAAATCACAGAAAAGCATCTTTCCACCAAAAAACATTTCAAGATTGCCACATTGTAAATTGATATTGCAGCAGAAATGTATTCCCCCTTCATGGTAACTTCCACCTCAAGTCTACATGAGGACATCTGGATGTAAAACTGTTTTACGGCTTGAACAGTAAGCATCGACACTCTCATACTCTAAAGGGAAATCAGTCCAAACTTGCTTCTGAATGATTTGGCTGCTGTGCATTCATGACGAGGCATAGAATATGGCTTCCATCATTTACCTTCCAAATGGAGGTGTCAGATTAAAAACAAAGGGGTTGTTAGTGTGTTTGCGTTGAGGTGCCCACTAGCCGGAGGCCTTTGATAGAATTTTTTTCCCATGTATATCAGCAGGGATCCACCTGACATTCATACCCGCTTTGAAAAAGTGCCAAATAAGATCTGCTTACAATATTTTATATATTTTATATATTTTACACTGACATTTCCACAATAAGAAAACCATATCTTAACGTACAGATCTGTTCATTAAAGTTTTTCTTACACTGATTGTAGGTCCATACTTTCGATCAAATGTATAATACCAAGATTGGGGTTCCGGCTTCTGACCTGTCCACACCACATACATTCGTGTGAAGAAAGCCTAAGTTTGAGGGAAAAGAATGAGCCCAAAACAATTCAAACAAAATAAACTCCAACAAATGACAGATAATTCCAAAGTTACACTCCATATGAGTCAAACATGGCCTGAAGCATCTAGCACTTCTGTGCTGCTTAACATCCCATATGCATCCATAATGGCTTTCCATCTTACCACCATGAGTCACTACTCTCATGGGTTGCTCCATGATCAAGTAAAGTTCATGAACTTCATTTCATCTTGCATATCAGTAACTGATATAGCCACAAGAAATGTGCCAATCCTTTGAAATGCTGAAATGACACTTTCCCTCAATCCTGGTGGGCAAAATGCCTACTGCACTGCATGATACCAGTAAACCAAGCCTTTACTGTTTTTTTCATATACACCATCCACTGCATCTTTGAAACTTACAACCTGCTCACTCCTAGCCATCATTAAATGTCAGGACATATGTTGAAATATGCGGTCAATGGAGAGCAGCACTCGTCTATAAAACACTAAAGCTGTCCATAGTGGGAATAAGATGGCTTAATTACATCTGCAGCAGCAACCAAATGAAGTACATTTAACGGAAAAAATGAAGCAGACAAGTCTCTGGTGTTTATTTTATATTGGTGTAGCTCCATTTCACTGATGTATGCTGGCTTAAATACACTGCCATAGGCCCAAATGAGAGGAAAGCATTGTCTGTAGGGGATGGGTTTTATGTAGACATGAAATCTAGAGCACCATTCTGAGAAACTACTTGGAGGCTTTGAATAATAATCCAATTCTGCCCAACCCAATTCCAGCTTTTAATCCATTTACTTTAAAAACTAATGAGAATAAAAGGAACAGTACTTTATCAGTTAAATATATAATGCCATACTTATGAGATCTTTGATTAAAATGCACTATGAAACCACCATTGTGCATCATCGGGAATCAACAGGGCAGGGCTCTTCATATAATTTCACATTTACAGCAATAGGAGGTCTTCCAGCAAGCAATCACTAGCTACAGAGCACTGGAATAAGACTTTCCCAGTGACGTGTTCTTCAGTGTTAACAGACATAAGGTTTCGGTAGCAGAAACTGCTTCAGAAAAAATGTGAGCGTAATCCCAGTCAACCATGATTAAATTTAACAAGTGTAACAAAACAAGCTTCACATTTTTCCCCCCTTGCGTCCGTTTTTGCCTCTTTTGTGTACATTAAGTCAACATGACGCATCCAAGATTTTTATAAATGTTTACAACTCTCTAACAGGTCTCAGTAGAGCACAACTAAATGTGTCCATTTCACAATGTGAAAGAAGAACAAAGAATGTTTAAGAGGAAAAGGTTCAAACATGATTCAGCATTACAAGGATTTTAGCCCTGTCATTAAAAATAAATCTTCTTGCAATCATGACTAAAACTTAAATCACAAGAAGGCTTTCACGTGATTTTTTTCTGACGTGCAAGTAGGCAGTGCTTGCCTAAATCAAGGAATACAGAAAGTAACCCACGTTTGATTTGAAAGAAGAAACGTCTTTTTCTTAATAAATATATATATATATATATATATATATATATATATATATATATATATATATATATAAAAAACAGTCATGCTTTAACAGGATGTGCAGCTCATCAAGCCACATCAATGGACAACCAAGATGTGCTAAACACTGACTGTGTTGTGTGATCACTTGTCATTTAAGCTCAACCCATTTCACACATTAACAATCAAATAAATTTTTACCTACATGGACACACAACCATATTTCTTTTCCTTCATGCCAGATTACACTAATTTCTAATCAGGTTTACATGCAAAAAAGTCAAATAAAGTCAACACATGTGAGCCGCCACTATCCTTAGCTTGTGGTCTTTCCTTTGCTTCTATTTATTGATACGAAAGATTTCTGACAAAGGAAATGATTCAACCAATAAAACATGGCTCACCATGGAAATGAATAAAGTTGATTTAGAAAACTTGACCGTGTGCTCTGATGGGTTTGGGATTTTTACCAAAAGACTTGTGAATAGTATCTTCTACACCCTGGCATGATTACATTCAGGAATATTACAAAAGCCATTTCTTTCTAGGTGCACAGTGTGCATGTTCATTTAATGGAAGCAACATCACTTCATTGAACAAAGATAATGTGCAGTCCAGGCTCATTATATGCAGATCTGTTCACTCAAATTGTGGGTGTTCATGGATCAAATTTGTGTGTGTGTGGGGGGGGGGGGGGGGGGGGGGGGGGGGGGGCATCTGAAGACTCTTTATAATGTCAAATGACACAAGACACATGCAAAGAACAAATAAATTTAAAAAAGGGATTTCAGCGTGGCCAACAAAGTTTCAGAGGTTCTCTAGAAATGTATGAAACAAAAGGTCTGAACACTTCCAGCCAAAACTTCAACACATCAGTTGAGCCCATGCCATTAAACATTTGTTACCTGTTATTTTGTCTCGAACAAGTTTGCAGGACTCAATTTCTCCAATGCTCCCAAACAAACTCTTCAGCTCTTCTTGGGTCATGTTCTGAGGCAGATAGTTCACTATCAAGTTAGTTTTACTGTCCTCTATGCTTCCCGACTCTACAGGCGAGGAGCAGTTGTTTGACATTGTTGAGGGACCGTTGCTCGTGTTGTTGCAAGTTGGCCCATTGGACATCTGTGTCTCCATGGCAGCAATTACCTGCTAAAGAAACAAAAAAATAAAAAAATACTAAAAATCAAACAAATATTTTTTTCCAAATGAATCAATTACCCATGCACCTGTTACAAAAGGACACTCTTCACACATTGAAACATTTTGTTGGAATTCCCAGTTATTTTAGGATTAACAAATCTATTTATCTCCTTCAACACAGAAAAGAACACAAAATGCATAAAATGTCAAACAAGTTTGTTGTTTCGGAAGTGGGTTTTGAAAAATACAAAGTTTTTTCTTAATGCAGTAAACAGTGGTCAGCATACTGTCAGATTGAAGAAAAAGGAATCTCTTGCACACAAGTCAAGCCAACAGCTACTGAGAACAAGTACAACAGAAGAAACCCTGACCATCTAACGAAAAAAAAACAACTTGAATTTTATGTTAGTTCAAGTGAATGCTAAGTTGTTCTAATGTACAGAAAAGAAAAAGAAAATATGGTTTGACTTGCATGTAAGAATGTCACTGAATCTCCAAACAGCTGTCCAGTGACTGTTCAAGACAACTAAGACGTCAGTAGTATTTCACACAAATCCACTTCAGAAAGAATTTGATTTTTTTTAAAGAAAGCTGTGTGAGGATGTAGCAAAGGAAAAGGACTAATAAAGTTCCTCTACGATTAAGAGAAATCTGACTAATGGGACCGACAAATTGCTCAACAATTGATACTTTTTATTTTTTTGTTTCAACTTTTCTTTCAAACTTTAGTGAGGCAATCATAAAGCAACTCTCATTTCAGCAATAATTGTCTAGCCAAGCCTATCGCAGCAACAAACGTCAGACAACAAGCCCTTTGATGTAATCCACAACCAACAAGTCAATGTATGAAGAGTTTTTTCAAACAGATTCACCATGTACAGAAGGCAGATCATTGTAGTCGCACCTCTACATTTTAAGAAAAATCACATTGCCGCATTTGTGTCATGCACATACAGGACTTGACCATACCAATTCACTCAAACATTAATCAGTTAGGAGCGTTTCATACACAAACCCCAAATGATGCCTTTATTCCAAATTCAAAACCTGATAAATTGGATCTGAACATTAAAATATACGAGAGCTAAAATCATTGGTATGGCCTGAGCATTGCGACAAAAAGGCAGGCCTTCTGGCCAATTTATGTCAGAAAAAAGATGTGCCACAGACCCCAGTCCAAGGCTCAGGTGCCCACGAACCACTTCTAAGCAGAGAAGCCACATCGCACAGTCTGACTGCCATGTTAGTTTGGAGTTGCCGTCTGAAAATGTGGACACAAAAAGTACTTCATGTTAGATTCAACAAGAATAAAAGCAACAGTCAAATGATCACATGTCATTGTTGGGAGTGGGACAAGGCAGTATTTTCTGAGCTTGCTGTCCATGCAGGTAGGGTGAAACAAGGGAGAAGCAAAGGCAATGTTTCACTTGGTCACAATCGTGGATAAAAGAGAGGAAGCATTAAAGGCTCAGTCAGGTGAAGAAACTCCACCACAACAGGGTCAAAAAGCATGAAGATGGTGATTAGAAAGGTGAGTGCACGTGCTACACAATAATGGAAACAAATTGGAGGGCAAATATCTTTTGTCAGTAACTCAATTCAAAGACAACACAAGAACAGGTTCTTAAATTTTGCAGATACATTCTTACATTTCTTGTCAAAAGTACAAGATGGTTCCAAAATGTACTGGAGCATCTACAGTTTAACCCAAACACTGAACAAACCACTAATTCTTCAAAGCAACTTCGACTGCCAGACTTGAGAGACAAGGTATGTACCAAAAGCCAAAGTAAGATTTTAAGAACTTGAATTAAAACTAGGTTTTCTAAAAATGTCAAAACTACTGAACTATAACGGTTACCAAACTACAAAGCTATGGCTCCAAAGCACAAATTATTTTCAGCACACTTAAATAAAGTACATACAGCACAAACAAGCATGAGGTGTGCCATTTGCAAAATAAAAGTTTTTGTTTTTTGTACTAGTTCTGCCATAAATAACCACCAATATAAGATATTTGTGTAGGTTTATTCAAACTATATTCCTGGTAACCTATTTCAGAAGAAAAACTAAACATTACCTGGAATTTTGTATCTGCTTTGTAAGACACTTTGAATAAAAGGGTCTTCTAAATGCTTAAAAATAGATCATCATCCTAAAAAAGCAGCTTTAAGCAATAGTATGTTTAAAAAGGTATCAAACAGGAAATGGTTTGTGCTCCATTTGATCATTTCTTTCACTTTTTGGTTGCAACCAATAAAAATGTCAACCATGGAGAACTCAAACAACAATTTTCTCTATTCAAGTGATGAAAGGAGCATAGCACTTGTAAAGCAGACAAGAAAAACAATAAGCCTTATCAACAGATCTTAGTTGAGGGAAACAGTTACTGTTCTTTTATCATTTAATTTTTATAATATTTCATCAGGCAGGGCTTTTGATGGATCTGGAATTACAGTTTAACTTCTTTTGAGTGTTTCAGAAAGTTTATTGACTGAACTGACGTATATCTGCCATCAATTTAGCTTTTATGTTAAATTTAAAATAAAATATCGGACACTGAAATGTCTGAGACATTTTTTCTAATTTCCTTCCAAATCTCAAATCCAAACAAACACTGGTTTCATAAAAGATGGTGTGTTATAGTGCAGTTTTTTTATCTTTTATTTTAACGCAATATATCAGATAGTACAGGGCTTCCTTCAACCGTAAACTGTAGGTTGTCCACATATATTAGGCAATCCATCTTCATACACCAGGCATCAGCCTACATAAATACTCCCGTGACCGTCAATTGACGACTTATTTAACCATAACTGATGGCACGAGTACCTTCTCATATGCTCATGGAGTGATATTGTGCTGTTCTGAAAATGTCAAAAGATTTAACTGCATCTAACAAAAGGAAAAAATAAGGAAGTCCCCAATAACCTACACTAAAAGCTGACAGTGAAAAACCAATCCATTTTAAGGAAGGCATGTAAAATCCCAAATGATCTTCATTGGGTATCAATTAAAAATCAGATATTTAAAAGGTGAAGATAATAAAAAAGAACTTGGAAATGTTTAAGAGTGAAAGAGTTTTTTGTTCAAGCAAATGGGAAAAAATGACTCAAGAATGTGGTCTGGTGAGTTCAGATTCATTGTTCCACAGTGACATGTATCTTGACTTTCAGAGCCTGAACACAAATTAATGCAAGCGAGAACTCAAATTTACCTCCAAACATTTTCGCAGCTAAAAGTGATGCCACCGAAAGGCGTGTGATCAAGGCTAAAGGTTGTCCAGAAAAACATTTCAGCTTCTCCCCACAACATCTTTTCTTCATTTAACCCCACCCCCCCACATCCCATCTGAAGAGTGAAACTATGCCGAGTTTTGCACAGCTCTTTGTTTTTCATTTCATGGTCAGCAACTCTGTTTAGTGAGTCGGAGAACAAACTAAAAGTAGAAGAGCAGTATAATAGTGAGGAAGACAGACAATTCAGTCTTTGCTTCCATTGTAAATAAAATTAAGTTGGAATAGCGGATTACGGAGACCAGCATTGGAGTTCTGCAAATAAAGTACTTCTGTGTGCTGGGTGAGTAGTGGCGTCTAACAGCAAAATATCTAAATGCCTGATCAAGCTGCTGGCTCATAACATGGTTTGCAGATACAGGCGATGCAGATGATCCTGGATTCAAAAGGAAATAAACTACACAGCAGCAGTCTAAAAGGCTGCAGTTTGTAGCTTGCTGACTGATAAATTTGTCAACGTCAATAATTCTGATATTACCAAATCATAATATTGGCCACTGTATGTTTAAAACAAATAAATAGAAATAGCCGATGGAAGGTGCTGGAATAAAAAAAACAAAAAAAGTTTTACATGAAATTTGTTTTTAATCTTATACAAAAAAGTAAGAACAACACTGCTGAACAAATAAATTCCTGGTATGAGGATTAATGTAGAATACGAGCGACAGTATTTTGAATCAGGTCCACCGAATTTCACTCATTTTCAGCTTTCTGAATGTATTCTAAGCTGCAGTACAGACACTGCAAATACATGAGTCATTTGATTCACTACCATGTCCCGAAAACCAAGGTCAAAACCCTCCAACTGCATAACCAAAGCAGAAATGGAAAATGGAGATAAAGCAATCTGCTTCAGCCCACAAGACCCATGATGCATTTCACTCAAACCTAAGCAGAGCATACACCTGTACTGTTCCAATTCTCAATGATGATTCTGATTTTGTCAGTGATTTTAAGTAAACTAAATGCTTTATGATCAGCAGTATTCCAGTAAAGCCAAGTCAACACCAGTCACCTGACATTCCATTAATTTTCACCACCATTCGGTTGATCCACTGTTTCAAAGGAAAATGTATTCATTACAAATTGTACTACGTGTGATTTTAAAAACACTAATTTAGTCTAATTGCAAGTCTAAATCTAAGTAATTGACTTCCTCCTGTGCCATCTTTACAAGTGTTTTGACAGCTAACAGATAAAAGTTGCCTTTGTCACAGCACCAATTCTGCTCGAGCTGCTGCAAAATATAATGGAAAGCTCGTCTTAGCTGTGTGTGCACTAACTTAACTGTTTACCTATGGATTATTTACTTTGTGGCACAGGTGGATAGAAATATTCCTAGTGGAGGAACATTAATTGCATAGGCAAAGCAACAAAGCTTGACATTCCCAGGCTACAAGCACTTTTAGTGCACTGGTGTCGTCTGGGAACAGTAAACACTGAAAATGCAGACAGGTGTCGCTCCAGTACAGCAGAGGGGGTTTGGTGACATGACACCACAGATTACTTTATCTTATTCATTTTATGCTATTATGGCTGCTGTTGGAAATCCAGTCAGCAGGTAAAACATTTTATTTGTTATAGAAATGTTTATTATGAGGGTTCTCAATTTATTTTGCAAATGATTTTCATGTAATCATGGCATCACTTTAGTGGTATGCAAACAGATTTGAATTTAAACTGTTCAATTGTTATTTTACTTTATAGAAAACAGATCTGATATTTTGGAGTGACAAGTTGTTCATCAACACCACAAATTTTTAAATAACGAAAGGCTCAACAAAAAGTACTGACTAGTACCCTGCAGGCTATTCTTGGATTAATTCAGCTGTCTGGTTACAAACGGCTTACTTTCAAATTAGTGTATTTTAACCCTTTTTTAACCCCGGAAAACAACAACTACTTTAAATGTCAAAACAAATATAGTTTCAGTTTCCAGCACACAATGGTACAAAACAGTAATACAAAAAACAAAAAACTATGCAACCATTTTCCATCAGTAATATTCCAGTTTTGGCAACAAGTCATCACTGACACCACCACAGGCCTGGATATTTGAGCCATACAGGTCAACAAGAGCCTCCTGCTGCTCTTTCCAACTGTTACTCTTCCCAAACTAGCAGAAACTGGGAATCTCTGTTCTGGGGGCAAAACCAGAACATATTGGTGAATAACTTTTCTTCAATCTTCATTTCATGTCTCACCTTTTGTTCGAAGCACAAACACTGGCTTCCATCCCAGTTGAGAGGAAATATTTCATTAGAAAAACAATTGGAACAGAAAGCTTGGCAAGATGCCTCTTCACAAAATTTAAATTGAGGCCTTCACCGAGTGCAGCCAACCAGCAGCTTCCTCGCAACACAAGACCTATTCCCAGAGAAGGTTTGCCTCTCACTTTCATCAAAAACCAAGCCCAAATATAGTACGTTTTCCCTTTAAAAAATAACTGTCCACCTTTACATTTTTAATCCGACTGAGAAAGCTGCCTTTTAGCATAAAGTAGAGCATGTCTTGCTAGCCACCATTTGTCCATTTTAAAAAACATGACTGCCATTTCCCCTCACAGAAAATAGAAATCAATTACAATTACTGGACCTTGTTTTATTCCTAAGTAAATAGAAGGTTTCATGGGACTGGTGGTGATCTCAAGAATGTGTAAATAAAATGAATGGCTGACACCGACTCTACACTGAAGCAGAGAGGAGTATCTGCTACAATAGAGCAGGAGCTGCTATTCAGGATCCTCTCATGTCCAAAAATGTATGCACTGTGAGAAGGCAAATACATTATACAAAAAAATCTGTAAATAATCTGAAATACATTGATCCAACATCTAACTGATGTTTAAATGTTATGTCAGAAAAGCACTAATATTTCTCTGAAAGTCTTTTCCCTTATTTAAAACGGCAAATTTAGATAAGTTTTAGCATTCAGATATGTAGACCATGAGAAACAATACAATAATGAATAAACATGTTTTCTAATCAGGCTAACCTCAGAACTTTAAGTTGAGCCCGAAGCTAACGGTGAGATCACCATGTACTGATGTGACACACAACACTAAGTGAGGAGGCAACTCCATCCTTGGAGGATTAAATCGACCAAGTATGCGTGACAAGCAGCAAAGTAAAGAACTTCAGAGTGCTTACAAGACCATGGACAATCTGTCCTTGAAAACTAAAAGCCCACAAGTAACAGATCAAAAATATCCCAGCAGAAAACAGACATAACTAGTCGACCCATTCATAACAAGGAAATTACAAAAAGGTCCTTAAAGTCACTTTACAAGATGGAAAATGTGGAAATCTTACTGTGGTGAGTCTCTTATAGACAAACCAGATTTTATGAAAGCATTTTATGTAAAGTTGTTTTATATTTTATCTTCAATGGAGGTCCAAGTCATATTGCTCTTCAACCAAAAACAAATCTGCAGCGATGCACAACTTCAAAACCGATCTTACCAAAAGGTAAAAAATTTGACAAACAAATTGAGATTAGACAACTGTGAACAATTGAGGTATTTTGGATATCAGAAGATATCAACCAAAGAGACTTAGTTTTAATAAAACTTAGATTTAAGATGTTAATCAGAATAAGCCACAAAACAATTAAGAAAAAGTTCAGCACTGCTACTTTCCTCTCTGCACTGCCTTGGCCCCAATCTTAAAGCTCAATCTTACCATCAACCAGGTTGTGAAAAGTGTATCTAAATTTCTTCATTGGGATTAAGGTAGTATGCATTTACTTTAGTTTTATAAGACTAATGAAGACAAGCCTTTGCTTAAAAAAGAGGGGTGTTTGAAAACGAGTCTTGTCAGCAGTTTTATCGTTTCAAACCCAAAGTCAAATTACATGCAGTCCATTAACGTAGGGATAAGTGTTAAATAGTTTTGAGATCAGTAAGCAGGTTTACATAATCTAGTTTTCGTTAATCACATGACATGAGACGTAGCCACCAACAGAAGCTGCTGTGATGCAGTGAGATGAAGGGCAGCACATTACTGGCCTCGAGTAATGACCTGCACATGCAGAGGGAGGGCCACCCTGTGGCCAACAGACAGCACGCGCCAAACAAAGACAGTTGTGAAACCTCCAGAGCTCAGACTCAACTGCACTGGGGGGGAGGAGGAGATGTCACAATGAGGGAAGGAGGGGGCGTGGAAGGCTATCTAAGAAGGACAAAAGGGACAGAATTGTTTCTTTTAGGATGCCCTCTGTATACCAACCCAATTCTGACTGCAGCAAATTGCTGCCTCATAGAACAGTGATGCGAGGCCTCAGTGCTATGCATTTTCGTCACTTTCATAAGGCTTCTTTTCATATAAACGTGAGGACTCCATAAAATCCCACACAGACAACTGCTCTTATATCTTATCCTTAGAGACAGACTGAAGATGGATTCTGCAGCACATGCTGTCGATAAACTGCTTGTGATCAAATCTGCAGTCACTGCTAAACTAGAATCTATTTAACTGGTAAGAGAACCTTGAACTATGTAAAAAAATATAATAAATTAAAAATGAATTAAATAAAAAAAAAAAAAAAATCAAGATTGATGTGTCCTTACACTTCCGATTTCATGTCAAGTAACTATTTCAAGATCTTTCGTGTGATATTTTTCCAAAAATTATTCAGATTCAAACAGTGTTCAAGGTCAGACAACCATATCCTCTAAATGCCAAAAATAGTAATGTTTCTATGCAATAACGTTTAAGACCAAAAACAGATATATCATGTTATAAGAAGCATGGAACAGAAAATATCATTAACCTACAACTACACTTTAAGCTTATATGTCTAAGCAATGGTATAAGCAAACATGAAATTTAGCTTTAGTTTTACCATCCTTAGAGGCAGGGATAAATCAGAAAACGTGTTCAATTAATTACAAATGCATTAAAACCCAAGCCAGTCCATGTTTTACCACTTTGATTTAAATGTACAGATAACCAAGGCAAACTAAAGCTAAAATACACCCACTGAGAGCACACTAGACACGCACGAAACAAGCGAAGATCAGTTTGAACTGAAACAGCGCCTGCTGGAGGAAGTGAATTGACATGTACTCCATTTATGTCGAGACATTTTTAATGGTGAGTCGGAGGGCAAGTTCATTTCCAATTAAATGTGCTACACCTGCGCAACCGCAGCCAAACTGCGAGATGACAGCGGCTAAAACTGTTCAGGACAACATTTTCTCCAGACTGTCTCTCTCCGTTTAATATTTAGCCAATAAGCGTTTAGTATTTACCTAAAAGGTTTGTAAATTAGCATTCGGTCTTGGATTTAAAAAAAAAAATTTAAAAAATGCCGTTTGGTGTAACCATTAAGGTTGCACCGGAAGCGGCGTTCTTTCGCCAAACAAAGCAAACACAACCATTTTCTTATGGGTATGTGTAATTTCCCATTGTGAATTAAATTATTTTGCTCACATTAAACGGAACTATTTTTATGGGATTTAAGTTTGATAAAAACCGAAAGGCATTGTGTGACGGTGAAACAAGGCATCTAAAGTTGTCTTCTGATTAGCTTTGCTAGCTTAAAAAACACACTTCGCAAATCCCGTTTTTCCGTGTTCACTTTTCTGCAGTGTTGGTTTAACAATTTTTGTTTTCGCACTGCACTTTTGGATGTCTTACCTTGAGGTGTTGAGTCGGCGTTGCGGTTATTTTATGAGGTAGTTTCTGCAGACATACAACTTTTTGCGGTAGTCTTGGCGCAGCTAGGAGGGGCGGAGGCGGGAACGTCGCCAACTTAAATAAACTAATCAGAGGGCTGGCCAATCAGCGGAGACACAGAACCAACACGGAAACCGATGCTTAACTAGTTAATTTGCTACAGGTGTAGTTTTACTTGATGCCTTATCCGCAGTATAACACCCACCACTGTTAAAGCCCTCTCAGCCAAAGCTGCGCCATCCTACCTTAGAGTGATTCAGACAAATTATGCCAATTTGATTCACAACAGTTTTAAAGTGATGCTATTTTAGATGTAACTATGGCCACCACACTAACCCTGAAATCTAACCATGGGCTCTTGCAAAAAATTAAATCAAAGCATGATGTTAACCTTTAAAAAATATGTAAATAAATGAATATTTTCTGAAACCACATATTGGCTATACAATAAGACAAAACTGTAAATTCAAAAATAGCATAAAAATATGCCAATGAAGCAGAACTTCATCCAGCAACTCCAAGTAGCACAACTCGCAGGCTGCCCTTACTATAACCCATATAGCATTGTTCCCCTCAGAGTTCAACGATGGAAGCTGTTTACTGCTAAAACTGAGAAGTCTGTTTACCCTTGAAGAAGCCTGTAGATCCCACCTTGATCGTTTTAATACAATTCCGAATAGTTTAGGTTAAAAACAAAACCGTAACTACCGCCCCCCCCCCTGAAAAAATCTAGCAATCAAGCTCCAAAATAATGGAAATATGCATAAGCTGTAAAACAAGGGCACTAGTCTTAGATTTCTAACATAACATTCACCCCCTTATATGCGTTAAAAACAAGCCACTGCGCGGATCACACGTTTCAGAACTCTCCAATCCCCATATCTCTACACACGAGAGCGAGAATGCGTTTGTCCACGTCTGAAAATTTGACCCATGTGCGATGATAACCTCCTCAAATATCACATGCACCAAGTCACCGCAGTTCAGAGTTGAAAATTCAGCCGTCAGCGTTAACATGAACGCACCATGGTGACTTTCCCATCGCGTCTGCATGCAGTCAAAAATAAAAAGAAAGAAAGAAAGAAGCTGAGACTGTTAGGTGCATGATCAGCCCTGCACAGTGCCCTCAAACAATCGAAATAGGATGTCACACCGATTGAAAATGTCTCAGTTGAATGATCAAATGTGGAAAAATAGCTTACCGTTTCTATAAATGAAAGTTAGGGACGTCCTTAGGCAAACAATCTCTGAATGAAAGACCTGGTCAATACTGTAGCTCGTAAAATGATGAATTCCGCTCTCTTAGTTCAAACTTGGAAACATAAAAGCCAACACAAACAAGATAAAATGAGGAAATGAAATGTTTATTAAATCAAAACACACAAATGACCTCCTTTCAGCAAATGCATGAAACAAAAGGGAAAAAAGAACAGAAGAAAGAAAAGGAATCAAATAATTAAAAAAACCGGCTTCTGCCTGTCTCGCTCTTTACAGGTGCGCCACACAAATACGCGACATCACTGAGTGGAAACCAAAGCAAGGCGGAGGTTGTCTTTAAAAGAAGATAGTCCTGAGCGCAAATATATAGGGCCGTATCACAGCATGCCTATACCTCTCCGCACTCTTCGTTTCATCCATTCAACCTACACATGAGCGTGCATTGGACGCGGAAGTATACCCAGAGTAGCTCCATCCACCGCTAATGCACACAGAAGCTCTTCAACACTATTGGCTCTCACGCGCTCCTCGCTGGGCTCAGTCGTCTCTTCCACATCACAAGATGTCATTCGTCCTCGCCCAAGTCACTCAAAGCGACCGAGCGATTTTCCTAAATATGGCATTTGAAGTCAAACATCGCCTTTCCCTAGCCACGAGCAATGGGTTTGAAATAACACCTCGGATTGAAAGCAGCATCCTTTTCTTTTCTTTTTTTCTTTGAACCGCTCACTTTTATTCTACATCGCATCACCAGAGACGGCTATATAGACGCGAGGTTTTCTTTAATCTATTGTTAGACTAAATAAAATAAAAAACCTCCTGGTATGTCAACTGCACTCGATTATTTTCTTATATAGATTCATGTGTTCGACATTTCGCTAGATCGGTGATCAGGATATCACATGAGAAAGCAGCGGCTGTGCTGCGGACCGTTTGTGTTGTGCGTGGAGAGCCGCTCGCTTTTCAGCACCACGGACAGCTCCACTCTCCGGCTCTGACCGGAGCCGCTGCCCACACGCTTCCTCCGGCCAATATTCAGCCTAAGGGTTAGAAACAAAAGTGGGAGTTCATTTGCCTGTCCCCCCCCCCCCCCTCCCCCTCCTGACATTTTATGAGAAATCACCCCAAATTACAGTTACTACAACGCGGCCCACGCCACTAGTAAAGCAGAGAACACATGGGGAATGAGCCCATGCACGCCTTCTGCTGACTCCCAGAGCAACAGTTAGACTGGTGTAGCTGCAGCCCGAGGATGCAAGAGAGTGTGTTTCACACAGACCCATCCGCGCCATCCTTTGACCTTCAAATGGAACTGAAACCTACATTTACACAAATGGCGCCATAAAAACATAAATCGTGTCATAAAAACGTCTCAGAAAGAAAATGTACAACTGCCTGCAAGAAAATTCCTTTTTAATCTGATGTCAAATCATAAACATGCATTAAAGAATCTCAAATGACACCATTCAATTCAAGAGTAGTCTCGACATGTAAAGATGGTTAGAAAGATTAAAATAAAGAGTTAACATGCTTAAAAAAACATATTTTGTAGTAATATTGAAGCTTAACGTAAAGTAATGCTTTGGTGTAAATTTGGGATTTACTTTGAGTAAATAACAGCTAATGAAAAACAGCAACAAGTGCAGCAACCATGAACAAGTGCTTTATCATGAGAACTTCTTTACCTGACTGTGATAGTAATGGAGAGATTAGAGAAAAATATCTTAAAGCACACATTGAAAAAAAAAAAAAAGACAACTGTTCAACAACTGGTTTTAATTTAAAAAAAATCAATGTCTTTTTAACTGACAATTGTGCATCAAGTGTCTAAATTTGTCATCACTGCAATGTATTAGCTCTCAACACAATGTGAGCAGGTCATTAAAATTAAGGACATGTTTCAACGTGTTCGAATTGACAATTTATATTAAAAAAATTATATTAAAAATGGAGGAGTGAAGAAATAAAAAAAAAGTCTAAAAAGTGTTGAAAAGGGAATTTGACTTTGGTGTAGTTCTCCATGAAGAGCTCTTCACAGCTGGAAAACAGATTAAAGATGTCTGGATGTGGTGTGACAGCTCTAGTGACAGCTCTGAGGTTGGAAAAAAGAAAAGAAAAAAAAAACGAATAAGAAGTTATAGCATAAGGGACCTTTACAAATGCATTCCATGCTGTATGTCTCGTTAAAATAAAGCATTTTATTTTATTGGGTTTTGTTGCAATAAATCACTGAACATCAGTCTGATGTAGGTCTAATTTCATGGCTTGGGCTACACAGAATTAGCATTTCAACAAGATGTAAAGCCTCAAAGTAATGTGTAAAGTTCTGCTTTCAATGATTAATTTTCCCTCTAACAAGAAAAAAATTAAGACAGCAGTAAAAAAAAAGGAAAAAAAAGTCCATCAAAATCAATCTTCCAAATGGCAATTTCAAGTTTGACATCTTCATGGCAGCATATGTTGAAGTACTGCTTCTGTGGTTTGGGGATTTCCTTGAAGCTAGCCATGCCCAAAAATATCAATTAGATCATTAGCATATAGATAGAATATAAGAATTGTTCAAATGAAAGAGAACAAGGACCCATTAGCCCTATTTTTAATGCAGATTTGTGAAAATGTATCTCAAAAGAATGTCATAAAAACTCACATCAGCTAAATTACAGTAAAAAGATCAGACACAATGACGAATAAGAATATCATTAGAAAGGAAGGAAACATAAAGGCATCTGTACTTTTGTTAGACTTGCTTCCAGTTATGTACATGTAGAGTAAAAATGTGGACGCATCAAATTAAAACATACATACATAGTAAGGGAGCTGCTAAACTAATCTTTCTTCTTCTACTGACTTCAAGTACAGCTGGGCCAGCTCGTTTTCCATCAAGTTTAACATCCCGAGACATTATCACAGTCTAGCAGCTAATCATTCTGGCTTGGGACTCAACACAGACACGCTGAGCACTGGTGTATTAAATATCATGCTTCTCAGGAGAATTCCCGGCATGGCAGCCAAGGAAACAATCATTAACTAATCTTACCAGGCTCCTGCCGCTTTGGTCCAGCACTGTCTTCTTGTCAGGCCCTCACAGCATGCTCCTGGCCAGCCACACCACACCCAGGGAGCCACAAGAAATCAGCCATCTCAACTCCAGCAAGGACACCAGACACATTGCACAGCTAGTTACAAGCAGCCCCTGGGTGAAAGAGTTATTTGAGCTGACAAATCACATATCACTGCAACAAACCTAATATATCACACAGATATAGCAGCAAAGAAACAAATGAAAAGTGATAAAATGTGTCCGAGAGGCCTTAAACACTCATTTAAGTGATGAACCAACAAACAACTCATTTCTTTTCCTGCTGACATGTAGCTAGCTCGTTGCTAAAAGTCTTCAACAAGCAGCTTTCAGCTCATTGCCTTTGCTTGCATTGACATCCTTCCTTTTCTTTTTCTTTTTTTTTTACATTTCTTACCAGCAGCAGCTGTTATCTTGTAAGTTTGATACCATTTGTGCCACCAGCATGAGTTGAACTTCCTATTTTCATGATCCCACAGAGAAAGCTGTGAGTGTGGCACACCATATCCTGACTCCATATGGAAAGGGCGTGGCCTTAAAGGGGCAGTGCTTCATTCAAAAGCCCAAATAGTGAAACTTTACTGCACAGTGAGTCAGCAATATGAAATAAGAAACACAAAAAAGTTATCTTAAATTATTTATTTAGGAAGTTGCATAATCATAAAAAAATGTATATCCTTAAATAGAAATGAGACTTCCTCTGAAGGGACTGTAATGGTTTGGGTCCCTGAATGGATGAAGGAGTATTGGGCTTGTTTTCCATGAGCAAAGAGGTGGCTCTGATAGGTTCATCAGGGTACTCTTTACTGTAAAGCAATATAGCTTTAATGGAAAGATCTGGAAATCTGGAAATATAAAGCAACTCATTTGTCTACTTTGTTGCACCACACTCCTAGATTTCCTCCATACTTCCCACCTCTTGGCTTTTATACATTTTACTATTCAAACACCATCATCAACTATCTGATCAGTTAATAAAATATGTTCCTCAGTCAGCAGCACCATAAACATTCCTAAAATCAAAGAAATAATGATAAAAACAACCTTTACTTAAAAATGTTTCATTCTGTGACACAATTTAGTATACTAATATTTCTGACACACAAAAACGTATGTTCAGATCTTCCACAGTGAACAAGAAAGCCTGAAGCTTCCAGAAGAAAACAACGTCCTCTTTTTCTTTTTTCCTCACAGTAACACAGGAAAGAACAGCGCCCCCATTGCAAAAGTGCTGTCTTTGAAAGAAAATCTCCCTTTGGTAACTCTCATCTGATTCCTTCATATTGATAATCAGTGTGACTTCTGCTTTTAAATGTGAAGGGTGAGTTCTGTTGACCTGGACACCCTCCCTGCACACTTACTGGTAGCCTGAGAGGACGAGAGGCTGGACGAGAGGCTGGACGTTTCATCACACACAGATGTTCTGTCTGTGCAATTCCCACAAAGAACTGACACGTCAATAATGGTTCCTGTGAGACATTAACAGCCACTGTTATGGAGCCTTTTGTGTGATGATGGTCCCACAGTTGTACCGAAGTGATGAATGCTCCCTGCTGTCAAAGGAGAACAACGTGTTAATACGAGGCACCGGTAAGGCTCCAGGAATGATAAACATTACATTTTAGTACAGTTAATTACATTTGGAAGTAAGCACCGCATTCACTGAAATCGAGTGGGATGTAACATCGTAAGACTCATTTTTGTTATTCCCAGTTAAATCACACACATTTAAAAGCTTTCAACTGTGTAAAAAAAAACACACCAAAAAATTAAACTTACGTATAAATGTAGATCTGTATGAGCACATTGACAGAAACAGAGTAAAAAAAATAATAGGCAAAGAAATTTTTAATTTGGCTAAGATTTATCCAACATATTGCTAACTGTGGCAAATCATGTTTGGAAGCAAAGGGATCACATTTGACCAAACATGCCTGTTTTGAACGGTAGGATGGAGCTGGAGAACCCATCTAACAAACACACCATGGTTGCATACCAATCTAATAAAGGTTATAATTATTCATAAAGTAGCAATTCTGCCACTTGAAGCTCACAGTGGTTCTCGCAGATAAAGCTGAATTGCTTATATTTGAGGAGGCCGTTGCACAGCAAAGCAGAGTCAGAGTCGAGAGGGCAGACGGTGTCAGCAGCTGGGGGGCAAAGAGCATCAAACTTTGAGTCAGTTTTACACGGCTAGATTAGCATATTCATTGTTCCCCATCCACTGAATGAGAAAAAAGATATAGAGTCATACCCAAAGCTATTTCAAAGCCATCATTTTTTTTCTTTTCGTTTGTAAGAGCATGAAAGACACTTCAAAATGAACATTTTTGAAAACAGATTAGTTCTTAAGGGATTAATAAACGCTAGACTTGGGCTTTAAAAATATATTCTAAGTAAAAACCGAACATATGAATCATGAAAAACAAAGAAAAAAAGAACATGAAATGTCACACCATGAAGAGCAGATTCACTTTAAGGTGGTTGCTC